TCCTCATAAACGGGACAACTTTTGCATCTTTACTTTTACAATGTATACAAAAAGTTTTTTTAGTGTCGCATATGTGACTATCATTTTTAATTTGTGCACATCGTATACAAAATTCTTGTGTGCCCTTGCATTGCTTAGAAATGTGACCAAATTTCAGACACTTGTAGCACTGTATTACCCTGCCTACAAATCTTTCTACTGGCAAATACACAAAATTAACTACGACATAAGTTGGCAAAACATTTCCTTCAAATGTAACTATAATATTTCGCCTGGGGACGTATTCTGTTTTACCGTCTTTATCTACCTTTCTATGCATTCTTTTAATGTCAGTAATTTTAACGGAAGAGTCTATATGTTTTTTTAAATAATCAGTATCATACCTCGTATCTACATCGTGAATTATTCCCTTGATTTCCAAGAGATGGTTAGGGATATAGGCTTTTAAATTTTCATCCTTTAACTTATTATGTGTTACTAGATGATTTGCATCCAAAATTGATTTTAAAATAACTTTAACTCTATTTTTTCCTATAGATTTAATTTCCTTTAGGTTTTTGATTTTAAGCTTTTGATGCAAAATTTCCCCCACAATCATTGGATGTAAACGAGAAATGTTCTGATTATTTAAATTCTCGATATATACGCAACAGCTATGAAAATCATAATTATTAGAAGAAATGTTATAAAGTTTTACTTCCCTTGTTTTGTCAGTTTTATCACCGGAACTCGCACCAATTTCCATGTCATGTTCTGGAGAACTTGTCGCAACACTTAAATCGCACATTTGCGTCTTATTGTTATTTTCCTCCCCCATTAGGGGAGGTAAATAACTTATTTTCACAAAAATTCCAAATATTTAACCGATATATTTACACAAAATTTAAATTATAAATATAAATATTGATTTTTAATCACCGCAAAAACTTATCTGCCGCTTAATGTGATTTTAAGGATCGTCTGTTTACTATGTCCGTTAATAGTTGATAGTTGCAAAGGAAGTTGCAAACGAAAATTTAGTTTATTTTCAATAAGAACGGTTTGCTCTATGAGAAAATTATTGGAGTTTGGCGTATACTAGTAAACGTGTTTTCTAAATAAATATGTTCGTTTTACAAATGTTCAGCGGCGAAAAGTTAAAAATTATGGAAATGGGTATGCCAAAAATGAATCGCGAGCATATTTTCTTCCCAAAAATTAATCTGAAAAAGCGCGATGTATGCATCGGTAAAAGAGAACAGAGGCGGTAAGAAACTAAGATTAGCTAGATGTTCTATTGAGGAACATATTTTTATTTTTAATCCCAATGCCAGCCACTACAGAATGAAGCATGCTCCACTTTCGCGATATTTACCAATGACTTTGACATTTACTGCCATGTAAGACGATTTGTATGATTTGTACGATATTTTGTTAGCCATAAGTAGCAGCTGTTATTTAAAAAGTTTATGTTCTTATTTTCTTTGTTTTATATATTTTTCTATATTGTAGAATCTAGTTTTAAGTTGTAACTCATAAAGAAAGAATCAATATTTTAATGTAGGTAATGTATGGAATTATAATTTTTCACACTTGGCCTTACTACCTTACGAGTAACCAAATAATATTAGTAATTTACAAATGCATCACAATTCAAAATCATAATCTACCTAGTATGTGAACCTACTAGGTTATCAATTTGTAAATAACTCCCAGTTATCATCATGTTTCAATTTTCTAATAAAGTATTGCTTGTAGAACTTGCTCCAACCAAATATTTAGAACAATAACAATTTATTCCTCAAGACAAAGAATACTTAATTGATACCGAAATGTAACAGTAATATTCTAGAATATACTTCATAATCTTTTACAGCTCGGTAAAAAGTGTTTTCTCGCTTTCCTCTGAACTTTTATCAAAAGCACATACTAGGTTTTGAATTTGGACGACCGAGAAGGCTGGGAGCCAATGATAGTTGAGCCATTGATAATTGGACAGAAATAGTCAAACAAATTACATGACGTAACTACACCCTCACGAAGGAGAAAAGATAGAGTATATATAATATATACAGTGTGTCCAATAAAGTCGGCATCATAGGGGAATCTTTTTTATTATTAATTTTATGAAAAAAAGTTATTGTTTATAAAAAGTTGTACTTGGTCTAAAACCAAAGTTGCAACCATTAGATTTGTTTTGACAAGTTTTGTCAGTATTATATGCCAAAAATTATGAAATTCTTTCAAAAGTTTTCTTCCTTTTCTTCTTTTTATGTAGACATGACTCTGTCTGGTTTTCATTGTGCCTCCAGCAAGTTATCGTTCCATCGTTTCTGTCCTTTTTGTCCTCTCTGTGCCAGGTCGTGTTTCTGCCGCGTATGTCATTGGTCTGATGACTGTATTGTAAATTCTGCCTTTTATTTTTTTCCCAAAATTTATATTTCTCCATATTGTTTCATTCAGGCAGCCTGCGGCTCTGTTTGCTCTATTCATTTGATCTTTTACTTAAGTTTCAAGCTTTCCGTAGCTAGATAATGTGATGCCTAGATATTTAAACTGTATCAGTTGTTCTATTATCTGACCTTCCAGCTCCAATTTACATCTTAGTAAATTTGTTGTTTTAACCATGCATTTTGCCTTATTGGGGACATTAACATGTATTTTCTGGCGGATATATTAAATTAGTGCAGCATTCGTTGTAAATCGTCTTCACTTTGAGAGAGTAGTATCGCGTCGTCGGCGTAGGAGATTATTTTAAGTTCTTTTACTCCTATTTGGTATCCTTTTTTAGTTCTTGCTTATTTTATTATTTCATCCATAATCAGGTTGAAGACTAGAGGACTCATGGAATCTCCTTGTCTTATCCCATTGCCAGCTTCAATAAAGTCGTTTAGTTCTTCTTCCACTTTTGCTTTTATTGTGTTGTTTTGGTAGATATTTTCGATCGTTTTGATTCGATCATTCGATCAATTCGATTATTTCTAGAGGTATCTCTTTTGCGTACAATAAGTGGATAACGTCCTTTAATTTGACATGGTTAAATGCCTTCTTGAGGTTTACGAAACAGATATACCGGTTTGTTGTATTCTAATGATTTCATTTCTCTTGCACTTCCTCATTATAAATATAGCGTCGGTGCATGATCCTAATGAAATAAAACGTTATTATTCTTCTGCTAGTGTTATAATTTTATTCAGTTTATTTATTATTACTTTGGTTGTTAATTTTATTGTTCTGTTTAATAAATTAATTCCTCTGTAATTTTTCGGGTCCGATTTGTCTCCCTTTTTGAAGAGAAGTATTAGGATGCTTGATATCCATTCTTGAGGAATTCTGTTTTGTTCTATTAGTTTTTGGATTAGTTTTAACAGTTGTTTGGTCAGATCTGGTCCTCCGTACTTTAGGAGTTCGTTCGGTATTCTGTCCTCTCCTGGTGATTTTCATTTTTTTTTTATTTTCCTAATGCTTCTTTTACCTTTTCCTCCTCAATATAAATATGGATCGATAGTAGTCTATCCATGTTTCCTTCTGAATGTGTTTCGTTTTTATTAGTTCATTCATCTCTTTTCTGTGTCCCTTGATCATTCTCCATATTTCTTTTTGTGTTTCATCTGTTTTGAGAAAGTGTTTTTCACTCTGTAAGTGTTTCTTTTTTATTTGTCTAAGTCAAGTATTAGTTTCATTTCTGATTCGTTTATAATGGTTATATGTCTGTTGTGTTTGTTGTGTTCTGTATTTTAAAGTTCTCTGTCGTTCAAGAGTAATCTATTTTTATGTTTCACAATATCAAAAATTATTGTTATTATAAAAAGTGATTTGGAACTAAAAACTATGTTTTAATATGCAATTACACTCTTCTGAGAAATATTTTTCTGCAAATTTCTCCACTTTTATTTATCATAAATATGACAACTCTTTTAATATTAATTTTACAATAAAAAGTAAAAAAAAACCCATATACTTAAAAAGTATAGAAAAACCTTTGAATGGCTTAAGGCTGTTTTAGCAGTCAAAACACACTGCGATTTGAAATGGGCGTATCACTTACTTTTTCTCACTGCTTACGCCAGCCGACGACGGGTACAGCTGTTTTCGCAGTGGCGCCGGCCGGCGGTTGGTTTAATGACAACAAAAATGCATTATTCTCCATTCAAATTACTTTTGTCGGGAATACCTTTTTTGTCTGATTATCGTAGATGTTTTAAAAAGAATTATCACATTTTTAATTTATATGTCTTGGCTAAATATAGTATTGAATATAAATTTGTGAAACGTGACTGCAAAAAACACCATGGTGTTTATTTATAATAAATTTAAAATAACATAAAAATATTATTATTAAAAATAAAATACAATTTATTGTCACAAACAAATAAACAATTTCGCAGTTATAGCTTGAAATTGATTTCAAATCAAACTATCTGACCGTACGTTCATGAGATTTGACGTCACGCAGCCGATAACGGTGAAACTAAATGCCAATGATAAGTAACACGTTTCACTATAAGGTTTCAGTATTTTTTAGCAATTTTCTTCAAAGTTTGAACACGCCTTTCTCGATTATTACTGGACATAAAAAGGTGAAAAAAAACCAACGATTACAGAAAAAAATACTGTTTCAAGTGATGGGCGTAAAAAGTTTGGTTATAATAGAACGTTAAACTGTATAATACGATATTTCAAAAGAACTTTCAAAAAAATTTAAAAAGTAAAACCATCAGTTTTAAGGCAACAAAATTTTGAATAACGTGTCCAAATTTCGAGATATTTTGTCGGTAAATAACAGAGAAAACACTGTATCTAGGTTTTAGTGTACCGATAAAACAGCCTTAAAACCTAAAATTTAACCATCAGACTAACTTCGAGTATTGAGCTTTTATAATATTCTTGCAGTAATATTCTAAGACAAACAAATTTTCTCTTTATCTGTAATTTCTTCTAAATTTATCCTAGAAGAGAGATGAGAAACACAATAATCTGGATAAATACGTAGACGGAGAATCTTGTTTTCTAATACTTACCATTGAGTATAGCTTCGTTTTTAAGTTTGATTAGTGCGACATCATTCTGTAAGGTTCTTATATTCCAGTCTGGGTGGCCTTTATACCATAAAATGTCAATGTCTTGATAGGGAGGTGCACATCCAAAATCATCACAATCCAAATAAGTTCGTAAATCATACTCTCCAATTCGAACACTTTTTCTAAAAATATTCCATGGACGTATAATTAAACAAGCTCTTAATATTTCTTAATGAAAATTTAAAAATACACAGTTTTCTTAAATAATGTAAACTTGTAAAAATACCGGTAAGAGCAAAGCGAGTTTTCATAGAAAATATAAAAAAAAACGAGTGTGGCAGTCCAGTGGGACTGCCGGTAGGAGTTATACTTCTATACGCGCGTTCGCCGTTACAAATTTATATGGGAGTCAATCTGCACAATAATTACATATGTAATTCTATAGGTAAGAGAGAGCAGAAAGAGAAACAGAATTAGGTATATAGGTGTATTAGGTATATCATATACCTAGATACTGTATATGAACAACATTTGACCTGTAATAGGAGTATAATAAATGAAGGATTGAATCAATATTTTGATATAAATGTATATTTTTGTTTATATATATATATATATATATATATATATATATATATATATATATATAAATATATATATATATATAAGGAGTTGAATGCAAACAAATTTTTTTTTAAATATACTCTGCAGTGAAATTCATTGTTTATTTTGTTATTAATATAAAAATACAATACAATACACTAAAAAATAATTCAATATAATTATACAATACAAATTAAAATGCAATATTTATAAGTATTTAAAAATGACAATATACATAACTTACTTACGCATATATTTAATTTACCATGATAATAATATTAATAAAATAAAAATATTGTTTCGTGATGCAACTGTCAATTTGTCTGACATGGGCAGATACAAAATTTAATAATTGTTGTTTGTTGTGTATATAAGTGCACATTTGAACTTTCTTGAGATATTTACAAGTTTTAATTTATAATTTAACATTTACAAAGGGGACACTTTTATTCTCGAGAGAGAAAGAGAGAGAAAATACATATTCTGTCTCTCTATTACCTATATCTTACATATGTAATGCTTTTGCCAAATCACTCCTGTACAAAATTTCCAACGTCGAACGCGCGTATAGAGGTATCACTTCAAAAACCACGAGTTTGTTTATATACAATTTGGAAAATATAAAATTTATAATAAATAAATGAAAGAAACAAATAAATAAATGTAAAGTTTCCAACAAAAATAGACACAATAAAAGACAGCTGTAATAAATACAATAAATGCAGCTTTATATTATTTAAACCTCGCTTTTAAAATCATGTAAGTGAAAATATATATTCTGTCTCTCTCTTTCCAATATCTTACATATGTAATGATTTTGCCGAATTACTCCTGTACAAAATTTTCAACGTCGAACGCGCGTATAGAGGTATCACTTCAAAAACCACAAGTGTGTTTTATATACAATTTGGAAAATATAAAATTTATAATAAATAAATGAAAGAAACAAATAAATAAATGTAAAGTTTCCAACAAAAATAGACACCACAAAAGACGGCTGTAATCAATACAATAAATGCAGCTTTATATTATTTAAACCTCGCTTTTAAAAACCATGTAAGTGGGCATAGGCAGCTCTTTATGACGCAAGCAGAAAAGCCACTAGATTAAATTCAAAAGATACATATTTATTCTTAATATAAAGTTCTATTTTTTTTTTCTAAAAAAAAAAAATAGAAAATATCCCCAATATTTAAAAACAAGAGTCTTCAACCAATGTATCCTTCATGTTCTTACCTACGGTTCTCAAACGTGGACCTTCAAAAAGGAAAAAATAGTAGACCCAAAGAGCCATGGAAAGGCAAATGCTAAACATTAGGCTATCAGACAAGAAAAGAAATACTTGGATCCGCAACAAAACAAAAGTAACATATGTATCACCACAGAGAGCAAAACTTAAGATGGAATAAGATAAGTATACACTGGAGACTATATGGTTACAAGCAAAAAAGAGGAAGGCCACAAATAAGATGGTCAGATGACTTTAAGAAACACGCAGGCCCAAAGTGAATACAAACTGCCTACAATAGAGAGATGTGGAAGAAGGAAGAGGAGGCCTATGTCAATAATTGGACAGCAAGGGCTGTATAGATAGATAGATAAAAATCTAAATAATTATTAACTTGAGATAGTTTAATCAGATCATTTATTTAAATAAGTATAAAACTAAAATATTATTTAACAACATAGTAAATCGTATTTCTAGAAAAGAATACAGTTTTCTAATATTCCTCTTTTCTCCCTTAAGTAAGTACCTACACAATTTTGGCAGGTGGTAGTATTAATGTTATGTCACGTGCGTACCAAAGCTTTATATATATTTTTGTCATCTTTGGCAATGTAGAATAAATAATCAAACTCTTGGATTTTCTTACATTCTGGAATTTGGAAATTTTCGTCTCCGGATGGTTCGCCTTTATATAATTTCTTTAACCTCAACTTTCATTTAATCGCTTAAGTCCTCTGTATGCTTGACTACGAGAAAGCATTCGATACCATAAGCCGTCAGAAAATGTTAAAACTATTGACAGAATGCCGAAGAGACCATTGCTACATTAACATAATCAAATATATCTACCAAAATACTACTACCAAAATACCACAGCTAGCGTAAGACTATCTGAACAAGGAACAAATAAATTCTGTGTACAGCGAGGAGTACGGCAAGGAGACACAGTCTCTCCAAAGCTATTCACGACGCTTTTAGAACATACTTGTAAGAAGGCACATGGGCACTAAACGAGCATGGTATCAACATAAATGGAGAGTAGTTCAATCAATTAAGATTTGCAGATGACATCATCCTTATAGCCGATCGTTTGGATGATGCAATAATAATGTTTAAAAAATTATATCACGCTTCCTTGGAGGTTGGAATAAAAATTAATATTAACAAGACGCAAGTAATGACTAATCTTGTGTAACTCGAAATATTGCTGTTGATGGAAGGGATATTGTGTAGACTACATCGTATAAGTACCTAGAACATGAAATTCGGTTGGGCAGAGATAACCAGACATGTGAGCTCCCACGTCGCATAGGATTAGCTGGGCAGCGTCTGGTAAATTAAACTATGTATTTAAATCGGATCTACCCATATGCCTTAAATGGAAAATCTTTGACCAATGTGTGTTACCTGTACAGACGCTATCGGCAAAATCACGTTGTTAAAATAGAATTGGGCAGGTCACGTCGCCAGATTATTAGACAACTGATGGACAAAACGTAATTTTAGAGTGTAGACCAATGCCAGAATCAATACGGAGCAGAGGGCGCCCACCAACTAAATGAACTGACGACCTGAAGCGTGTTAGAAATAAATGGATGCAAGCCGCACAAGACAAAGACAGATGGAAAGTATTTGAGATAAATATCTCTTTAATATGATATTTTATGGATAACACTTTATTTGAGAAACATCTAAAGGATTGAAGTTGGCAACACCACTCAAAGCAGGGCTTGTCTAAGGAAGCGATAACTGGTTTGACAGCATAATAAAATCGTAGATTTATGTGTAGCTTTCAATTTTTATGATTTCAGAATCCAGCAGCCCGCTGAAGTATTGGAATTTTATAATATAATTATTTGACAACCTTTTGTTGGCCAACCACCTACAGCAAAATTGAGCCGAAATACATAATATTTCGTATGTTCCGAATTGATTTCGTTCAATCTGTATAAAACGGGCGGATATATTGGATGTGAAGTTATTCGTCTTGTTTTTGTTATATTTCTATAATACCTATTACTAGACAATATTAAATAATAATAGAAATCCAAAGATTTCATAAGTTTAAAATAGATTCAAGGAAATGAAAATTATTTGCTATCCACAATTTGAAAATGCCAACAGACGAAAAATGAACTGACTATCTAGACAGAAACTCTTTGTATAGATAAAGTGACGTGTAATGGTATAAAAATTTTAGATTCCCCATGTCAGTCAATATATCGTTTTTTTGCTTTGCAAATTGTAGAAAGCACATATTTGTCATTTTCCTGAATATAAAAGAAAGATTTTGTTTCATTAAGAAAGCTTATCACAAGTTCTCTCTGAGAATTTCAAAAGGATAAAATACGTATAAGGAAATGATGCTGCTCTGTATTGAAATTTAATCTTATTTGTCTTTCGTATTATATTAAATATTTTAAATATAATTATACATAGGATGTAATAATATAGTTTAAAATATGTAAAAAAACTCGTTATTAGCTTAGAAGCATAATATTCTACTCACATCGTTACGTTTTCACCACAATGTGCTGCGGTTAAGACATGGCTAGTACTAATCAATCCTCCACCACAGTTATAACCACCCAATGATCCTGAGTAAGCTTTTATTCGTACCAACCATGGAAATTGCCCAAGCTCTGCCTCCTGCCCACCGAAAATCCTAAATTGGGTTTCTCTGGCTCGACCACACTCTTTAGGAAGCAATTTCCAATTCGGATGACGGTCTATATCCTTAGATACTTAAAAGTAATTTTAAATGACAATATTATATTAAATAACTATCTACAAAATAATGCAATTTAAAAAGGAAAAACAAAACGAGAAAAACTGAGGAAAATTGGAGACAAAACATTAAAAGTAAAATTCAATATAAGTAAACATAAAATAAGGCAAATATTTATTATTTGAATATTGAACTCATATAAATTTACTAATAATTCAGCCAACAGGTCACCTGACATGTTATACATGAAAATCGTAAAACACGGATTTAGTCGTTGGCTTCTCTAGTATGCCATAAATATAAAGTTTTTAACTTGTTAACCATTCAATAAATGAAAATTTTAAAGCAATATTTGAATTGTTCGGTAGATTTCGGTTGAGACTCATCCATATCGGTTTTTCGGAAAAAATCCTGGTAATCATTTGAATGTGTAATGTATTTATGTTTGACCTTGCGAGTGGTACACATGTTTCCATTTCAATTAGAGAGAAGTGTTTATTTAAAGTTCTGTTGATTTTGTAGAGATAGTATTATTATTTTTAACATGAGTAGAAGATAATATTTAACTCTAGGTAGAATTAAAGGCCCTAGTACCTCGCCTAGGTGACGACTCTGATATGAATACTAAAATTATAGAAAATGAAGTAGATTTACACTCGTTCTAAGATAAGATGTTTCTTGAAGAAATTTTAGAATCGCATGGATATCTTCAGCTGAAGATATAACCGTTACAGAAGATGTTGATTTTCATGAACCATGTGAGGATAATCAACTGAAATTTAAAAATTTTTGATCTATCTACTTCTATAAGATGTGCTCAGGATGTCCTGCTTCACACTCTGGAAATTGTTTTCAAAAATATCCATACAATGTAAGACTATAACTGAAAAATATATTGATACTTTTTATAAAGAATATATTATAGACTAGTCTGTAATTATATATATGGTTCTTGAATTCCTAAGTGGAGCATAGAGCTTCAGTGAAAATTTTACGCTAAGGCCTTCACCTCATTTCAAGACTTTCCTTGACCTTTTATCTCGTACATATATATCTTTTTCAAGTTTGTACTGGGGACGACATCTTTTTTTTATTCCTTGAGAATTACACTTTAGAGCAATCTTTGCAATACTGAAATTATTTTTTCTGAGTTTGTAACCAATCCAACCCCACTTTCTGGACTTTATTTGATGTTGTACCTTTTTGTTGTACCTTTGGTTGAGTTCGAATCCTACCGCCGGCAAGAACAACTAGGCATTTTTAAAATGTCTATAGGCCCCAGGTCGACTCAGCCTGAATAAAATGAGTACCTTGGGTAAAACCAGGGGTAATAATAGGCGTGAAGCGTAGCACTGGCCATGTTATGTATACCGTAGGCCCTAGATATAGCAGACTACCCTGCTATACTCCCAAAGCCGCGTGCGGTATAAAACGGGAGACTATTATTATTACCTTTTTTTGTTCGGTCAGGTGTAGTAGATCTTCGTTTCTGATTATGTTATACCAGAAAATACGAACAATTCGTCATAGACATTTATTAATAAAGACCTGCAGTTTATCTGTAAAGGTTTTGGTCACTTTCCAGGTTTCACATCCGTAGAGTAGAACAGACATGACATTTGACTGGAATATGCGGATCTTTGTACTTGTAGTGTACTCGCCAGATCTCCAAACAGGGTTAAGCATGATGAATGCTTGTTGAGCTTTTTGTATCCTCATACAAATATCGTCCTCCGTATCTCCGCTTTCTGTTATGACACTATCAAAATACGTAGTTTTCCACATTTTCAATCTGCATATTATTGATTGTAAATAATGTGTTGTTTCTTGCATTTACTCTCTCCATTTGTCCTAATAGGCAGATATCGTCGTCGTACTCCAGATCGCTTAGGCGTGTGATTAACGTCCATTGTATCCCTCTTGTGTCGGAGTCCACTTTAGAGAGAACATAGTCTAAATGCTATGTTAAAAAGAAACAGAGAAAGCGGTCATCCCTGTCTGACTTCAGTAAGTATGTCAAATTCGTCGCTGTTGATTCCATTGTGTATCACGCTGCATTTCTCCTCAGTGTACATTGACTTTATAATTAAAATTATTTTATGCGGGATGTTTCTTAGCTCTAAAATTTTCCATCAAGCAGCATGAGATGTCAAAGACATGCTCAAAGTCAATAAACCATATATAGCATTTTTCATATAAAAAATCTTGCACGTCATTCAAGATTCAACACATTAAAATACATGAGAAAACATTTTAATACAAAATTATATATCTTAAATTTTAAAATTACTTTTTTTAGGGTTTTAATAATAAAAACGTCCCGCCGTTATTTCTTCTTCAAAATAATCTATCTTATATGCAAGCTTATCAGCTTTCTACAGACTATTCATTTGTTTTGGCATATAACAATCACAATACGTAACAATCATTAGTTTTTCAAGCTGTTAATCTAAATTTAATATGTGTTTAAAAATACCATTTCTTAATATATAATATTAATATTTATTATGATTAACAAATTATATTATTATGATCAAATTGTGTAAGAAATCAAAATATAAACAAAATTCCTACTGTAAAAAAGCGGCAACACTTTATACACTTTTGCCACACGCTCAAATGTCAATAAAATTTGAACTATTTTCGTATCAGTTGCGTACAATTGTCTAATATATTTAATTAACATTAATATTTTTGCGGAATATTAGACTTAAAGATGTATTTCATAAAATTTATATTATTAATAATAACAAATGTCTTTGGTTATTTAATAAATATAATTCTAAAATTTTCCATATATTGATGGTTACATTTTTCTGATTATTACACCATGTTGACGCCTATGAAAGATCGAGCAGTTCCGTATGGGTTTCGTATTATTAGCTGTGTTAGGAAAATTTGAACTCTAAGGTTGATGTTCTAGAAATTTTAAATACAAGTGACGTCACTTTGTATAAATCGTGACGTGCAAGTGTTTTACTTTAAAACATGGTATATAAGGATGTGTTTCATTCAACCTATTGTTCCATTATTCTTCTTCTTCAGATGCAAATCCACAAATGGATGTTAGCGATCACATTTTCCATTAACTCTCTATTTCTTGCAATATGTATCAGAGATTGTATGTCGTTAATCCCTGTCCATTGCCTTATGTTTCGGAGCCAGGACATTTTCTTGCGTCCCATTCCTCTCTTGCCTTCAATTTTACCCTCGATTATAAGTTGGAGGAACTGGTATTTTTCATTTCGCATGATGTGACCTAGATACGCCGTTTTCCTTTTCTTGATGGTTTCGAAAAGTTGGCGTTCTTGGTTTATTCTTTTAAGGACATCTATATTTGTGATTTTCGCTGTCCATGGTATTTTTAGGACACGGCGATAAAGCCACATTTCGAAAGCTTCCAATCTGTTTATATCCCTCGTTTTGAGTGTCCAGCCCTCTACGCCATATAGCAGCACTGACCATACGTAGCACTTAGTAAACCTTAGTCTCAGTTGAAGATCGAACTCAGAACAAGTCAGTACCTTCTTGAATTTTACGAAAGCTTGTCGAGCTTGCTCAATGCGACATTTTACTTCCCTGTCCGATGCCCAGTCTTCAAAAAGCCACGATCCCAGGTATTTAAATTTACTCACTCTTTCTATGGGTTTACTATTCAGTGTTATGATGGAGTTTTCAAATGCATCCAAGTTTCTGGAGATGATCATGAATTTGGTCTTTTTGGTATTAATCTCTAGTCCCATTCGCTCACTGTATTCTCCGATTATAGTGACTAGTTGTTGAAGATCGACTACGTTGTCACAAATTAAGACACCATCATCATCAGCTCATCAGTTCCATTATTACCCTCATAGTATTAATGTGGTCTATGCAGGAGGATTGTGGTCTAAAGCCTGCTTGACCAGCTCTAAATTCAATCTTGTTTGTGAATCTTTTAAGTATGATTGTCGTAAATATTTATTCCTCTCCAATTTTTGCACAGTGTGAGGTTACCCTTTATTATTTACTAATTTAGCTCAACTTAAATTAAATTTAAGTTTGCGTTTAAAATGTGCTAATAAAATTTAATAATAAAATGTAATATAACAATATAAATTTTATTTTAACCAGCTGAGAGTTTTAATTAACACACCAGTCAATTTTAAATTCAACTGTTCAATGTGTTTTGTTGAGTTCTACTAAATACAAATACTTTAGAATAAATAGAAAATTAGATAGGGATATTTTATAAAACGTTGTTAGATTGATTAAACGGCCACGACGACCTCAGTGCACTATCATGTGTTAAACAGTGACACGTACGTAGTTCAGTAGGCATATAATATTGTTACGATTTTAAATAATATTGCGTATAAAACTGTAAATACAGTATGACTAATCACGTATTTTCTAGATCACGCACCGGCCGAGACGCAGGTAAAAAACCTACCTGACACTATGGGTCCCCCTTCGATATGAAAGCGGTCAACTAGTACTCGATATTTCTGGAAACAGGCCGCTATAAAAAAACCAGTTCGAGACTATTTAGGTCAACTTCCGTCTACTTCACGCCAGATCCTTCCAGATAACGGCGTTTCAAATAAATAACGGCGATGCTCATTGAGGAGAGTTAGTCAAAAAGAAGATCGCGGATATCGGGTTAAAATTGTATCGAACGCAAATAAATTATTTGTAATTATTAAGTGTAAAATAAATTAGTATAAAATAAAGACTTTTGATAAATTATCGTGAGTTTTAATAAATTAGAATAAAGACAATAAATTAGGACTAATAAAAACATTATAATATATTCCAACGATTTATATGTCACTGTAATCGTTATAGTGTTCGACATCGAAGGGCTAGTTGTTCTTGATCGCTATAAGTAATTAACATTGGAAGTATTGTTATATATAAAAACGGTTATAAAAGTATATAAACACTGCGGTTATATGGAAGTTTTTCACCATTGCTAATTTTTAATGCGTCTTTTCATTTTAATATTTACTTTGTTATGTAGATTTGTGTGTTTAAGGTTGATCTGCACCCCCCAAAAGAAAAACTACACATTCAAAAATTTTGAAAAAATTTGGGAATATATACGTGATAACTATAAGGATTTTGACAAATTTTGAGCAAACTTCATGTTTTCGTTTTCAAAAAAACTCCAAAAAACTAGTTTTTTCTAAGAATAAAGCGGAAAAACCAAATATTAAAATGACTATAACCTTTTTTACAATTTTTAAATGTACAGTTTTACCACAATAAGAAAAAATAATATGTTTCGGATTATGATAAAGCTACCAGTAAGAAACTGGACAAAATTTTAATATCAACACATATAAAACTGTAAAACTGGAAAATATTTGCAATAAAACGTTGAATATTTTTTCGTAAACATAGGCAAAATCTGGTTAAACAAGAATTATATCTTGAACTGCCGCCATTAAATTGTATTGTCGAGAGGTGGCTCCATCAGAAACATCGGGAATATTATCATCGATATCATTACTTTCGTCTTAGAAATGCTTCAAACGAAACGTTACACTAACAGGGTTGCCATGTTAATTAATTTATACAACACTTTGTCAGATGATAACAAAATTTTATATTTAGTTACAGTGTTCCTTACATAACGTATTACTGATAATTTTTATGTTAGCATAAACATTAGTTATTCTTCAGGAATTTACATTTGTCAACTTGTATTTTAAATCTTGTTTCTCTTAATCTTTCAAAAATCTTCTTAAGATTTACCATGTGTTCTTGAAGAGAGGTTGAAAATACAATTATGTCGTCCATGTAGAATAGACATATTTGTCATATAATTTCTTTTCGTACGTTCTCCATTAGTCTCTGGAATGTTGTGGCCACATCCATAGTGGCCATTTTCAACATTAAATACAGTCTTCTGGATATGTTCTTTGGCAATTTTAATTTGATGGATTCCGCTGGCTAGTTCTACGATGGAAAAAGTATTGGCAGCGTGTTAGTTTGTCCAGACTGTCTGTCTGACTTTGGAATTGGGTATGGGTCATCGATGGTTTTCTCGTTCACCTTCCTGTAGTCAATAACTATTCGCCATTTAATTTTTCCTCAGACATCTTATTTATTTGGAACGACCCAGTATATGGTGCTTTATTTGGTTAGTAAATGTTAACGGATCGTTTGAATGATGAAATATCTCTGCAAACTTCCTGCAAAGTCATATTAGTCGAGATTCTTCTTCTGTATTAAGATGATCGGTTCTAAGGAGATGATCGAGATCTCTTATTGGTTATTGTCTTCGGTAGGTATGATATCTGACGTGTATATATGATATTCTTTGAGATTTATTGGCTGACTTTTGATGGGATCAGTTAATGCTACTTGGATATATATATATATATATATATATATATATATATATATATATATATATATATATTATATGTACATGTAGACATAGCAAAAAATACGACCGTTGATTAAATTTAAAATATATTCAATAGTTGAATAGCAGAGGTTGTATCGGTCAATAATAGGCAAATGAAAGTCGTCAACTACTTCATTGATTTAATTGAATACGTTTCGCTTTTTGTTTTCAAAAGCATCATCAGTTCACTACAAATAAAAATAAAAAGATTTAAAATATAAGTAAATAACCAAAAGGGTTCATACTTACAAAAACAATTTGTAGGTTTTTTTTAAAGATGTTAAAAACACTCTACGATAACATTAAAAACTTAAAAACTAAACGATAAAAATGAAACAAAAAACACACAAGAAAAAACTGAAAGAGCACTATTGTTTATTTAATTATTAATTTTTACCGATGGCTTCATCTCAATGTGGGTGTAAGCTCTTTCGAAGATCCAACCTA